TGCTCACTGCGGCTGCTGGCCGCTCACGCTGGCTGCTGGCTACACACGGTAGCCCATAGCAACCCACTGCCACAGGGGCTGCAGCCTACGCCGTCACCGGCGACTCACGGCAGCCCAGCTCCAGGTTGAGCTGTTGTTCAGCATCTTAACTGTGGAGGGCAGTGTCACTGGCCCGCATATGTGGGATCCGAACCGGGGCCCTCTGGCGTCCCAAGCCAGCTCTTAACCAACACACCACTCATTTTTAATTATGTGAGTGCTTTACGAGCACATTCTCCTTGCTTAATGAAAATATACATATGTATACAAGTGTGGGGTAAAGTTCCTACTAAGCACCACTGCCACCCGCGGTCTGATCTGCTCCTTCATCCCCATCCCCTGGGGTTGTTTGTTATCAATTTGGGAATCCTTTTTCTTAACAATTTTGTACAGTAGATATACATGGACTGAGAAAGATGTGTTGAATTATTTCATAGATTGTTTTTTATTGTACTTTGTTTTAAAAAAATAAATGGAATCATCCTACATATGTTACTCTACAGTGGGGTTTTGTTAACTTAGGGGTAGACTTTGGGTCTTCCATATTAACTAGTACTGAGAGTGCTGCCTCCTTTAAACTGAGGCTTCCTTGTTTTGGATGACCCATGGCTTGTTTAGGTGGTTTTGGGCAAGCATTCTCTGGGTGGAGTCTGTGAAGGAGAAGTGGTAGTCTTAGGACGTCTCAGATTGGAGTCAGTCCTGCTGAGGGAAGGGCCGCAGCATGTGCCTCTCCAGAAAGTCGGGGAGCACTCATTCCTCAGCACAGACCCCCAGAACTGGCGTTGTCAGGCTCTTTAATGTTTGACAGTCTGATGAGTGAAAAACGGTATCTTGTTAAGGTTTTAATTTTCACTTCCTTCATTTCTAGTGAGGTCGAACATCTTTTTCTATGTTCATTTCCATTTGTATATCCTTTTCTATGAAAAAAGAGCCTGTGTTCCTAGGTAGTACTTGTTTATCTTTTTCTTGTGATTTGTAGGAGTTTTTACGTGTTAATCTTTTGTTTGTTGTGCCTACTGCCAATATATTCTGCCTCATGTTAAAATTTTTGATATACCCAGGTTTATTGTTCTTTTCTTTTTTTTTTAAAGTTTTTTTTTGGGGGAATTGGGGAAGGGGAACAGTGTTGGGGAATTTGGGAAGGGGA